TGGATTCAATATCTGTTAGGCGCCAGATCAAGATCAATGGTTCCATTTACAATATTAGGTTCACGGAGGAGGAGTTCACCAATAGTGTCTTCTCATTGAAACAGGATTTCATTCCTTCTTTCCAGAGTGATACGGAAGAATTTGAATCATGGTTGACAAAAAGCTCCAAATATTATCAAGATATCCAGGATGTAGACGGTGGCAGGCTAACCATGGACGAACCCGGAGATGCAGAGGGAGAAGAAGATGATGTGGAGAGGTTCACAGGGGAATCCAACGGTAAAATCCAACCCCAAGACCATCAAGAGGGTGACAGAACAATTGATGTAGTGCCGGACAGCATAGGAAATTTTGAAAATTTTGAATTTTCAAATGATGGTGAGAACAGAGCATGGGTGATGGGACCGGCACAAAAGAGGGGGTATGTAGCACCCGATGCATGATCTAGAAATGAGGAAGGGAATCAGATGGGCTCGGGGGAGCTCAAAAATAGCAAACCAAATGGAGATGCTACTGAAATAGGAGAAGAGCCAATTTGTGGCCCAAATAGTGGTGATTCAGGTTTTATGGCCCAAGAATCATTGGAGGGGGCAAGCCCAATAGTTAATGGAAGGAAGTTTAATAAAGGTAAAAAGAAGGTTTGCTTTGGTCAAAGAACCGATGATAGAAGGGGTAGTTTCGGGAGAAGCTCGCGGAGCGAAAAGGGGAGCGCGGGTGACGGTGTGCAGAGGCGCTCAGCCGGAGCTCAGAAAAGAAGGAATTTGAGATTCAAAACATGCAGATCTGTATACCTACAGGAAGTCTCAGTGCAGAAGAAGCAGAGAAGGAAAAAGGGGGCAAGATCGCCGAAGCAAGAAGCCAACGAGGAGGGAGATTCTGCCGGTGTTTATAGCCAGTCCGAATGGAGAAATAGCAGGTGCATCTGTAGGGGACAACGGGATTCAAAATTGCAACAGATCCCTAAAAAGAAAGATGCAGCAGAAGCTAGCTAAAGAGATTTGGGATCTAGCCAAGCAACTTGGAGCGGTGGCAGTGTGTGATGAGGAGGTTATCCGCAGAATTGATGAAATGGAGATAAGAGATTGCCAAGCCAAAGCAGACGTGGAGAAGAAGGAAGCAGGAGGTGAGAAGAAGGTATGTTTTGTCCCTAATGATAATGTTGTCTTTTAACATTAGAGGACTAGGAGGGGCCGGGAAACGAAGGCACATCAGGGATATAGTTGTGAGGGAGAAAGTGGATTTTTTAGCCGTTCAGGAAACCAAAATGGAGGTCGTAGATAAGAAGTTGTGTAGGAGGGTGTGGGGGACGGAGGATTTTGAATGGATAGCCAAGCCTTCTATTGGTCTGTCGGGTGGATTGCTGTGTGTGTGGAACAATAAAACATTTAAGAAGAATGAGGTGATAGAGGGGGACCATTTTATTGGGGTGTCGGGGACGTGGGGGGAAGAGGGTGTTCCGGTTTTCATTTTAAACATATATTCTCCATGTAATTTGTCTGGAAAGAGGGCTCTTTGGAAGGAGTTGCAGGATCTGATCTCAAATAAGAAAGGCAACTGGTGTCTAGGGGGGGACTTTAATGCTGTCCGGAGCACAGGGGAAAGGGGCGGTTGCAAAGGGATGTCCATAGAAATGAAAGAATTCGACAGTTTCATCAATGAATTTGGGTTGGTTGATTTGCCTTTGGTAGGGAGGAAATTCACCTGGTACAACTCTAATGGCCAATATATGAGTAGGATTGACAGATTCTTGGTTTCTGATGATTGGCTGTTGAGATGGCCTGATATTAAACAGTGGGGGTTGAAAAGATCAGTGTCAGACCATTGCCCCATTTTATTGAAGAATGAGCGGATGGACTGGGGACCTAAGCCTTTTAAATTTTTTGATGCTTGGCTATAGGATCCTGGATGCAAGGAGCTGATTAGAAAAACATGGATTTCTTCGGCAGTGGAGGGATGGTATGGTTTTAGGCTCAAGGAGAAGCTAAAAAGTACGAAGAAAGCTCTAAAAGAATGGAGTAGAAAGTCTGTGATGGAGGTGGACAACAAAATAACTGAAGCTGAGAGAGTGATAGCTCAACTGGATGAGAGAGGAGAGAATGCCCAATTGTCTCCAATCGAATTAGAAAAGAGAAGAAGCAGTTTTCTACAGTTGTGGAACAACCTCAAATTAAAAGAGAATATGTGGCAGCAAAAGTCAAGATTTATGTGGTTAAAGGAAGGTGATGCAAACACCAAAATTTTCCATATGTGTGTGAAAGGAAGATGGAGAAAAAGTGAAATCAACAGCATACAGATTAATGGTGAGTAGTATAAGGGAGTGGGTGAAATGAAAGAAAAAATGGCGAGTTACTTCGAGCAGCTTTTCACAGAAGATAAGTGGCAGAGGCCTAAGCTAGACGGTATCAGCTTCAAACAGATTGATAGGGCAGACAATGCATCCCTTACGGCATCATTCTCCGAAGAAGAAATCAAAAATGCTGTATGGGATTGTGAATCGTCAAAGTCTCCAGGCCCGGATGGATTTAATTTCAAATTTGTGAAGAGCATGTGGGAAGATATAAAACCTGAGATTGTTGGGTTTATCAAAGAGTTCCAGGATCAAGGTAGGCTTGTAAGAGGATCAAATGCCTCTTTCATAACTCTAATTCCAAAGGATGAAAACCCCCAAACGATTGAAGAATACAGGCCTATTTCTCTTATCGAAGTTATGTACAAGATACTTGCGAAGCTGTTAGCAAATCGCCTTCGGAAAGTTCTAGACAAAGTAATCGGGGAGCAACAAATGGCGTTCATTGAAGGTAGGCAGCTGGTTGATGGAGTGGTTATTGCTAATGAAGTGATTGATGAGGCAAAGAGGAAAAAGAAGAGAAGCTTCCTTTTCAAGGTCGATTTTGAAAAAGCATACGATAAGGGGAGTTGGGATTTCCTTGACTATATGCTGATGAGGATGGGCTTCGGCAGTACATGGAGAGGGTGGATACTTGAGTGTCTATAATCAAGCATGGTCTCAGTTCTGGTCAATGGAAGCCCTTCAACACAATTTCCAGTTAGCAAGGGACTTCGCCAAGGAGACCATTTATCTCCTTTCCTTTTCTTGATTGTAGCGGAAGGGTTGAATGATTTAATGCCCTCTGCAGTTGAAAAAGAGTTATACAAGGGTGTGACTGTTGGCAAGGACACGGTAATGGTCACCCACCTTCAATTCGCAGATGACACCATCTTTTTTGGGGAAGCAACAGAGGAGAACATCATGATGATTAAAAGTATAATGAGGACTTTTGAGCTGCTCTCTGGTCTGAAAATTAATTTTCAAAAGAGCCAACTTATGGGCATCAGTGCTGAAGATGGCTGGGTAAGCAAAATGGCCTATAGATTATGCTGCAAAAAAGGGATATTTCCATTTAAATATCTGGGAATTCCTATCGGGGGAAACCATAGAAGGATCTCTATGTGGCAGCCTTTGTTGGACTCTTTTAAAAAGAAATTGACAAGCTGGAAGGGTCGGCAACTTTCCCTTGGGGGTCGTATCACACTCATGAACTCGGTGTTAACCAGTTTGTCGGTGTTCTTAATGTCGGTTTACCTAATCCCAAAAGGTACTCTCAAAGCTATTGATAGAATTCGGAAGAGTTTCTTATGGGGAGGGGAGGGAGAAAGGAAAAAAATTAATTGGGTCAATTGGAAGAAGGTATGCATGCCGAAAGATTCTGGTGGGTTGGGAGTGAGGGATCTAGGGTATTCTAACTTGTCATTGATGGGGAAATGGTGGGGGAGGTTAGCAGCAAAAGAGGAAGGATTATGGAGGAGAGTAATAGCAAGTAAGTATAGCGAGGGAGGGGGGCACTGGAAGGATTGGGTAAGGAGTGGGGCAAGAGCTAGCTCTTTATGGTGGAGAGATGTTAGAAGGATTAACAAAGCAGAAGGGGAAAATTCAGGGTGGTTAACAGAGGGTTTTAGATTGAAGATAGGAGAAGGGAAGGACGTGAGCTTTTGGTGGGATGAGTGGTGTGGGGAGAGCTGTCTAGCTAATAGATTCCCAAGATTATATCTATTATCCGCAGGAAAGGAGAAGGAATGTCTCCAAATGGGATCTATGTGCAATGGATCTTGGAAATGGAATCTTACATGGAGCAGGAAGCTGCTCGAAAGGGAAGAAAAGGCTGCAACAGAACTCGGCAAGCTGATTGAAGGAGTGAAGATGACTCCTGGCCGGCCTGATGAATGGGAGTGGACACATAGCAAGGACTTCCATTATTCAACCACATCAGCGTATTCTCTCTTGACAAAGGTGCCAAGGTGTCCGAATCAAGAAAGAGTCTTCAAGAGAGTATGGAACCCCATCATGCCAAACAAGATCTCTGCTTTCAACTGGCAACTGTTGCTCAATAGAATCCCAACCAAATCCAACTTGCTGAAAAGAGGACTTGGCTCATTTATGGGAGATGGCAAATGCAACCTGTGTCAGGAAGAGGAAGAAGACGCAACCCACCTGTTTCTGAAATGCAAAATTGCAAGATGGA